GGATGGATGGATGGATGGATGGATGGATGGATGATAGATGGATGGATGGATGGATGGATAGATAGATAGATATAGAGAGACCGATGATAGACAGACTGATGATAGATAGATAGATAGATAGATAGATAGATAGATAGATAGATAGATAGATAGATAGATAGATAGATAGATAGAAATAGAGAGACCGATGATAGACAGACTGATGATAGATAGATAGATAGATAGATAGATAGATAGATAGATAGATAGATAGATAGATAGATAGATAGATAGATAGATAGATATAGAGAGACTGATGATAGACAGACTGATGATAGATAGATAGATAGATAGATAGATAGATAGATAGATAGATAGATAGATAGATAGATAGATAGATAGATAGATAGATAGATAGATAGATATAGAGAGACCGATGATAGACAGACTGATGATAGAGAGATAGATAGATAAATAGATAGATAGATAGATAGATAGATAGATAGATAGATAGATAGATAGATAGATAGATAGATAGATAGATAGATAGATAGATAGATAGATAGATAGACAGACTGATGATAGAGAGATAGATAGATAGATAGATAGATAGATAGATAGATAGATAGATAGATAGATAGATAGATAGATAGATAGACAGACAGACAGACAGACAGACAGACTGATGATAGATGGATGGATGGATGGATGGATGGATGGATGGATGGATGGATGGATGGATGGATGGATGGATGGATGGATGGATGGATAGATAGATAGATAGAGATAGAGAGACCGATGATAGATAGATAGATAGATAGATAGATAGATAGATAGATAGATAGATAGATAGATAGATAGATAGATAGATAGAGAGACCGATGATAGACAGACTGATGATAGATAGATAGATAGATAGATAGATAGATAGATATAGAGAGACCGATGATAGACAGACTGATGATAGATAGATAGATAGATAGATAGATAGATAGATAGATAGATAGATATAGAGAGACCGATGATAGACAGACTGATGATAGATAGATAGATAGATAGATAGATAGATAGATAGATAGATAGATAGATAGATAGATAGATAGAGATAGAGAGACCGATGATAGACAGACTGATGATAGAGAGATAGATAGAGAGATAGAGAGATAGAGATAGATAGATAGATAGATAGATAGATAGATAGATAGATAGATAGATAGATAGATAGATAGATAGAGAGATAGAGATAGAGAGACCGATGATAGACAGACTGATGATAGAGAGATAGATGTGTGTATGTATATATACTGTATATAAACGTTTTAATCTTAGCAAAACTAGTGATTTAAAACTACTTCATTATTATATATATATATATATGTAATTACATATTTTTGCATTTGATATATCTATATAATCCGCAGAATGTAAATATATGTGTGTTTGTGTGTATATATATATATATATATGTGTTTGTGTGTATATACTGTATGTATATATATATAATTTTTATTTTCATAGTTATGCTCAGAATTTAATCATTTTATTGGAGTGCAATTTATATAAACTGAGAAGCCAGAGTTGTAAAGGAAAGCTTCAGTTAAACAGGATCATAAACACACACAAAAGCATGATAGAAACGAGATTTATTTTGTAAAAAGTTATAAAATGAATATTGTACAAAAATAAAGTCTGTAGAGAGCTTTGGTTCAGTAACACAAAAACAAGACGAGACGTCTCACAGTCACAGGAGCGACGGGAAAGAGTTTCAGCAGACGCTTGAACTTTATCTTGAACGTTTTCTTTCGAGGAATCCGTGAACGTGAGTTACATGTGCATTAGCGAACGCCATCCGCCAGCAGCAGACGTGTGTTTGGCGTTAGCACTGCGACGCTAGCGCATGTTCATCACGAGGAACTGAGGAAGGGGAACAGCTGATGAAAGATATCCTGATAACACAGGCTTGGCCTAGATATACTTCAGGAACGGTGGATTTGTAGGGAATTACGGCATCATTCTGGCATCATAACGCACAGAAACACAGGACTAGTGTTTATCCGAGTCTCAGGCCTGCGTTTGCTCCGGCTCTATGTGTGTTTACAGTCCAGCGCACAGATTGCTCGACGGTGATCCTGTTGAGAAGTTTATTTCAAGTCGGATAGAGCAGACAAAGCTGATTTGACATAATTGGTTTTAAACGGGAGCGTTTTTACAGATTAAACGGCAGTCCTGCCCTTACCCAGCATGCAATCCTGCATTTAAAAGACCTCTAATAGCGAGATCGTGACTGCAGACTGACCTTGTCATGAAATGGCACTGATATCTTGTAGACATTATTGACATTGGTAACATGATGATATCAACCATCTCATGCGATGCATGGCCAAAAACTACAGTGAATCCGTTCTGACTATAAGTGGGCTACAAATAATGTCAAATAAATGAAACTAAACACCTTGTAAACAGTGTTTACTCTGCTTACATGATGGAATATCACACATCTCGCAAGTTATTTCGGCAAAAACAACATGTAACCAAATTCAAGGTTATTTTGGATAGAAGCCGGACTATATCGAGTCTAAAGTTAATCTAGACGATGAAATGACGGCTGTTGCATGCTGGGTAGCGACTAGGGGTGTCACAATATATCGCAATACAAAAATGCAACATTTTTCGTGGGTGGATAGTGACAATATGTATTGTGTATAGTTCACCCAAAATAAAAATTACTGTGTGAGAAATTTTTTTTAGTGTCAGTATTACATTAAACTGCTATATAATGTTGAATAAAATTTATAATAATGCAATGGAATATTTGTATACTGGTGAAACTCGAAAAATTAGAATATGGTGCAAAATCTCCTTTATTTCAGTAATTCAACTTAAAAGGTGAAACTAATATATTATATAGACTCAAGCCTATATTTCAAGCCTTTATTTGTTATAATTGTGATGATTATGGCTTACAGCTTATGAAACCCCAGAAGTCAAAATTAGAATATTGTGAAAAGGTTTTCATAAGCTGTAATCCATAATCATCAAAATTATAACAAATAAAGGCTTGAAATATCTCACTTTGCATGTAATGAGTCTATATAATATATTAGTTTCACCTTTTAAGTTGAATTAGTGAAATAAATGAGATTTTGCACCATATTCTCACCCGTACATGTGTCGTGGAGTATGGCAGTGATACGGTACGGTGAGTTCAGGATGGTGACATGAGGATCGCTACACCCCTAGCAGGGACAAGCGCTCGGCGGGTTTAAAGAGGTCACGCGTAACATCATTTACTCGGATCAGACTCGACTCGTCTCTGGCGCTGGGTTCGTTCCAGCGGGATGTAAACACGCCGGGCCAGGCCGTATTTTAAAGAGATGGTTGGAGACGAGCCATTTGAGGTCCAGCGACTGCCACCGAATCCCTAATGTGAGCTTCAGTTTGAATGATGGCAGGAGATACGATCACTTCTGCAAAACAACATCAGCTTTTTATTTTCTACCAGAATAGTTGGTCCTCTAGAGGAATTCCTGCTTATTATCTGTTGTTTTGTTGTAGGAAACAACGGCGGAGAGCGAGCGAGCGGTGCCGGACGTCACGGATGGGACGAGATTATCTGCTTTTCTTTAAAGGAATCAATCGTTCGAGGAAAGATTTGCTCAAACTCATGTCGTTCCAAACCCATCTGACCTTCTTCCCAGACGCACAAGAGGACTTCACTGACAAAACGGTGCATTAAAGTATATCATAACATCAGTTTCTTCAAGTCACATGATGCTTGGTGTGAGGAACAAACACAAATTTAAGTTATTGTTCATTGACGGTCTGTTTTTTTCTTTTTATACCCGTCACATTTCCATCAGTCCTGTCAGTAATCCGGCAGCAAACATGAGTCTGACTGGATGAGATTTGCAGTGAATAACGTCTTAAATGTGTCTCATGTGCTAAAGGTTATAGTCACGGTTTCCATTGGCCCAGATCTATCATCTACACCTTCATTGTATGCAAACTAGAATCTCCTAAGATCTGCATTCAAATGAACCACTGATTAGTGAATTTCGCATTCAGTCATAATTTCTATGTGATCCGTAATATTGTTTCCTCATGCAGATTTCTGTAGCTGTGATTCATTTATACATACATTTAAACAATATACAATAAACTATAAATATAGGTATTTTTACTAGTTTGTTAAAACATTTCATGTATATATATATATACTAGAAAAAATAGAAATATGTGTTTTTATATTTTTCTAGTTTTTTCTAGTATATATATCAGTGCTGTCAAATCGATTAATCGCGATTAAAGTTTATAAATATATTGTGTGTGTGTATATATATATATAGTCACTCACACATACAGTAAATACATTGAATACATCAAATTAATTGATTTGACTGCACTAATACATATAATATATATTTATAAGTGCTGTCAAATCGATTAATCGTGATTAATCACATCTAACATAAAAGTTTGAATACATGTATACACACACACATACTGTATATGCAAACTTTTATGTTGGATGTGATTAATCGATTTGATAGCACTATATTGTATAAGTATATTTGGCTAGTGTAACCGCACCGTAACGTCTGGGTTTGTGTTGCACGGATGGTTTTGGAACGACATGAGTTTAAATAAACGACAAACTGTAAACGACTCCTTTAAACACACATGCTCAAATTTGGCACCATCCAAGATAGAGAACAAAAAAAACCCTCCTTAAATAAATAAGAGAAACAAACACTCTAATACAATGGATTGCAATAAATAACAATAACTTAATTAAATCTCAATAAATACATTTTCATATATACTATATATATATATAGATAGCTTTCTGGATATTAAAGATGTGGAGTCTGTTGTTGTGTGGTCTCTGATAATCCACTGATAGGACACACACACACACACACACACCAAACGACGCTTGTTACTGTGTAAACGCTCATCTTGTGGTTCGGTAACAGAGTGAACACTGAATGTCTCGTTCCGCGAGAGTCCCAGTGAAACGCTCAAACGCACGCACACTTTTTCGCGGAGTGCTTTTTAAGTGTGTGATATTCCAAGCTGTCGTCCAGGAAGGAGATGTCGTCGTCGAACGCGATTGGCCGACAGCAGGTCCGCGCCGGCGTGTCCTTGTCCAGCTTGCGGTTGTGTGTGAGGTTGTTCAGGATCTTGTCGTAGTTGGTCTCGGCGTCGTGACACGGGCCGCTGCAGTAACGGAAGATCAGCTCTTCTTTGGTCGCGTAACCCAAGCCCAGGTCTGTGACGTTCAGGTGGATCTCTTTCAGGAGGCAGCCTCGCCCTTGACCTTTGACCCTGTCGTCTCGGCTTTCCTTCCGCCCGCGACCCCTCTTTCTGTCTCCGCGACCCCGCCCCGACCTCTCGGTGTTTGTTGCTCCTCTCTGCCGGCCTCGGTCCCGCTTCGGCTGAGGTTCGGTGTGTGTGTGAGGAGATCTGCGCAGTCGGCCCAGAGTCGCTTCGATGAAGTCCATTACGCTCTCGAACCGCTCCGGGTAAAGGCCGTTTACAGCATCTTCAAGAGACAGTGGAAGATTGCTTCATTAGTGATGCATGTTTCAGTGTGCATTTGTGATATTCCTCGATATGTCATTTAAAATAATGCACAATTTGAGAAAGTTTTAGTGAACAACAACAACACAATGATTCATATTCAATTTTTTAAATAATGACTATTTCAAACATTTGTTAATTGAATTAAAGTGAATGTTCACTGAAATAAATAGTATAAAAATGTATTTTATAATACAATTTATTATTTTATAATAAAATGTATTTTATTTATATTTTATATTTTATTTAAAAAATGGTTTAAGTTGAAGAACTAAAAATACTACAACTAAAATTGAAATATAAAATAATAAAACTAAAGACATGTTTTTTTTTTAAAAACTAATAAACCCGATGAGAGAGAACAGCAAAAATATTAAAACTTAAACTAAAATTAAACTGAATATCAAAATAATAATAAATGCCATATTAGTGATACTAAAGAACACTGATATAACTTTTAGTATAAATATGCTTATAGTTTTTAAAAAATAAAAATACTACTTCAAAATATTATTAAATACCATAATAATGATGCTAAATAAACACTATGAATATTACTATACAATTCCTAGGACCTTGGAAAAAGTGCATACATTTATTTATCATTTTTTAAAAACATTTTCTATTTATTTCAGGTTGAAATGAGATTCTGATCTACAAAATGATTAACTAAACAGACATATATATAATAAAAAAATTACTAAAACAAACTAAAATTAAAATGAAAAATATAAAAATGAATAAAAAAACATATTAATGATATTAAATAACACTGGTTTATAGTGACCTAGATGAAGTGCAGAAATATTTCTGCTTTATATTTATGAAGCCTTTAGTGTTTATAAGTGAGACTGTGGCCTGCAGATGCTCAGCGTTCCCTCAGACTGTATATACGGTATGATATTGTTTATTTGTCCCTATCGGGCGTCCTGAATAACGGCGGATGACTCGGGATCCCGCCTGTCACCGGCCCGTGTTTTCATCTCACGACTGCCATGGAAAATCTTCTAGATCATGACATTGAGGTACAGCAGAACACATCTGCTCAACCGCAAACTGGAAACATGCGTCTTCAACAAAAGCAAGCGCTCGTTTGATCTGCATGTAATACACCATGATTTCATTACATCCAAACCCAACGTCCACTCGCTCTCCATTCAACCCAACCGAGCGGATCACAGTTCTCGGAACAGATCTGCAACTGATGCTGGACTCATGCCGCTAATCTCGCACGCCCACAACGTTATCCTCGGTTTCCCCAAATTATTTAACTTCAAATGTTTCAATGATGTCCACTCAATGAGGAGAAGACACTGAAAGCAGTTTCTGCATGGAGTGGGTCGCCATGTGGAGATCACATGACCAGCTGAAAATGTCTCATTTAGCATCATAATGTACAGGTGAAACTCGAAAAATTGGAATATGGTGCAAAAGTTCATTTATTTCAGTAATTCAACTTAAAAGGTGAAACTAATATATTATATAGACTCATTACATGCAAAGTGAGAGATTTAGAATATTGTCAAAAGGTTTTCATAAACTGTAAGCCATAATCATCAAAATTATAACAAATAAAGGCTTGAAATCTCTCACTTTGCATGTAATGTATTAGTTTCACCTTTTAAGTTGAATTACTGAAATAAATGAACTTTTGCACCATATTCTAATTTTTCGAGTTTCACCTAATAATAATAATACGTTTATTTTATATAGCGCCTTTCAGAAAACTCAAGGTCGCTTTACAATAAAGTACAAATAAACATTACATAGAAACAATAGAAATAAATTGAGATGGATAACATAATAGATAGTGATACATAAACATAGAAGTCAAGGACATATCAGACATATGATAAATGCATTTTTAAAATGACTTTTAAATCATCTTCAAGAGAAGCTGTATGATTTAATTAACCCTCCTCTGTTTAAAAACTGTATACACCTTTCATATTTCCCAATCAGTTTTGACCCGGTGGAACGTGAGCTTATAAAACTGAAGATATTACAAGAAATCTGGAGAATTTTGATAGTCTTAATCCCTGTACTAACAACTATGAATTTTTTTAGAACATTTTATGCACCACTTTTGGGTCAAAATTATGATTATGAATCAGTGTTGTTATTGCTAATTAAAACTATTCAAAACATTTACGTTACTGGGAATAAAAAACGTTCTGTTATACTTTTATATGAAAAATGCATTTTTAAATTACAGTAACTAAAAACTGTTGCCGTTAGTTCGTCCAAGCCAGTGCAACACGAGCAAAGACAGGCGTTTCGCAAGAGAAGCAAAGGATGCGAGGAGCTCAATGAAGACGTTTATTCACAGACGAGCGGCTGTGAGAATACAGCATGATGCAAGTTATACATAATCAATCGTGGTGCACTCCTGTAATCTGACAGAACACTTTCAACGCCCATCTCAGTGATTCTCAAGCCTGCTTTTCCACGCAATAAGTTGCAGCACATCTAACATGCATGAACATCTGTTCCACTGTAAATGAAGGACTCTCGGCGGGACTGAGAGGGGAATCTAGTTTAGCTGAGATGATTCAGATGCGATGGGAATCTAGTTTAGCTGAGATGATTCAGATGCGATGGGAATCTAGTTTAGCTGAGATGATTCAGATGCGATGTGAATCTAGTTTAGCTGAGAGGATTCAGATGCGATGTGAATCTAGTTTAGCTGAGATGATTCAGATGCGATGGGAATCTAGTTTAGCTGAGATGATTCAGATGCGATGTGAATCTAGTTTAGCTGAGAGGATTCAGATGCGATGTGAATCTAGTTTAGCTGAGAGGATTCAAATGCGATGTGAATCTAGTTTAGCTGAGAGGATTCAAATGCGATGTGAATCTAGTTTAGCTGAGAGGATTCAGATGCAATGGGAATCTAGTTTAGCTGAGATGATTCAGATGCGATGGGAATCTAGTTTAGCTGAGATGATTCAGATGCGATGTGAATCTAGTTTAGCTGAGAGGATTCAGATGCGATGTGAATCTAGTTTAGCTGAGAGGATTCAAATGCGATGGGAATCTAGTTTAGCTGAGAGGATTCAGATGCGATGTGAATCTAGTTTAGCTGAGAGGATTCAGATGCGATGTGAATCTAGTTTAGCTGAGAGGATTCAGATCCGATGTGAATCTAGTTTAGCTGAGAGGATTCAGATGCGATGGGAATCTAGTTTAGCTGAGAGGATTCAGATGCGATGGGAATCTAGTTTAGCTGAGAGGATTCAGATGCGATGGGAATCTAGTTTAGCTGAGAGGATTCAGATGCGATGGGAATCTAGTTTAGCTGAGAGGATTCAGATCCGATGGGAATCTAGTTTAGCTGAGAGGATTCAGATGCAATGTGAATCTAGTTTAGCTGAGAGGATTCAGATGCGATGGGAATCTAGTTTAGCTGAGAGGATTCAGATGCGATGTGAATCTAGTTTAGCTGAGATGATTCGGATGCGATGGGAATCTAGTTTAGCTGAGAGGATTCAGATGCGATGGGAATCTAGTTTAGCTGAGATGATTCAGATGCGATGGGAATCTAGTTTAGCTGAGAGGATTCAGATGCGATGTGAATCTAGTTTAGCTGAGAGGATTCAGATGCGATGGGAATCTAGTTTAGCTGAGATGATTCAGATGCGATGGGAATCTAGTTTAGCTGAGAGGATTCAGATGCAATGTGAATCTAGTTTAGCTGAGAGGATTCAGATGCGATGGGAATCTAGTTTAGCTGAGATGATTCAGATGCGATGGGAATCTAGTTTAGCTGAGAGGATTCAGATGCAATGTGAATCTAGTTTAGCTGAGAGGATTCAGATGCGATGGGAATCTAGTTTAGCTGAGAGGATTCAGATGCGATGTGAATCTAGTTTAGCTGAGATGATTCGGATGCGATGGGAATCTAGTTTAGCTGAGAGGATTCAGATGCGATGGGAATCTAGTTTAGCTGAGAGGATTCAGATGCAATGTGAATCTAGTTTAGCTGAGAGGATTCAGATGCGATGTGAATCTAGTTTAGCTGAGATGATTCGGATGCGATGGGAATCTAGTTTAGCTGAGAGGATTCAGATGCGATGGGAATCTAGTTTAGCTGAGATGATTCAGATGCGATGTGAATCTAGTTTAGCTGAGAGGATTCAGATGCGATGTGAATCTAGTTTAGCTGAGAGGATTCAAATGCGATGTGAATCTAGTTTAGCTGAGAGGATTCAAATGCGATGTGAATCTAGTTTAGCTGAGAGGATTCAGATGCGATGGGAATCTAGTTTAGCTGAGATGATTCAGATGCGATGGGAATCTAGTTTAGCTGAGATGATTCAGATGCGATGTGAATCTAGTTTAGCTGAGATGATTCAGATGCGATGGGAATCTAGTTTAGCTGAGAGGATTCAGATGCGATGGGAATCTAGTTTAGCTGAGAGGATTCAGATGCGATGGGAATCTAGTTTAGCTGAGATGATTCGGATGCGATGTGAATCTAGTTTAGCTGAGAGGATTCAGATGCGATGTGAATCTAATTTAGCTGAGAGGATTCTGATGCGATGTGAATCTAGTTTAGCTGAGAGGATTCAGATGCGATGGGAATCTAGTTTAGCTGAGATGATTCAGATCCGATGGGAATCTAGTTTAGCTGAGATGATTCAGATCCGATGTGAATCTAGTTTAGCTGAGAGGATTCAGATGCGATGTGAATCTAGTTTAGCTGAGAGGTGTCATGATTCTGCCATCATGTCTTTGATTCCTCTTGTCTTGTGGCAGGATCATGACAGAATCATGTTTTGTGTACAAGCGCATGGCCAATTGTTTGGCCATGCGCTTGTGTTGTCTCGTTGCGTTACCCCGCCCCCTTGTTATCCTCGTCTCGTCATTGTCTAGTCAGTTTCACCTGTCCTTGTCTAGTCAGTTTCACCTGTCTTTGTCATTAGTGTCTCCCTATTTAATCCCCTTGTGTTTCCTGTCCTGTGTCGGTACATTGTCTAACTTTGCGTGTTAATCCCTGTTAGTATATTGTCTGAAGACCTGTTTAATCAGTATTGTGAGTTCGTTTCCTGTCTAGTCAGAGTCTTTGTTTTTCATCGTGTCTTAGTCTTGTTATACTCTGCTCCAGTCCTGTTTTACCCCCTCGTGGGTTTTGTTTTCTGTTTTTGTCCTAAATAAATCATTTAAGTGTCATCTGCTGTCTGCGCCTGGGTTCTCCTTCCATCCACATGACAAGAGGATTCAGATGCGATGGGAATCTAGTTTAGCTGAGATGATTCAGATGCGATGGGAATCTAGTTTAGCTGAGAGGATTCAGATGCGATGTGAATCTAATTTAGCTGAGAGGATTCTGATGCGATGTGAATCTAGTTTAGCTGAGAGGATTCAGATGCGATGGGAATCTAGTTTAGCTGAGATGATTCAGATCCGATGTGAATCTAGTTTAGCTGAGATGATTCAGATGCGATGGGAATCTAGTTTAGCTGAGAGGATTCAGATGCGATGGGAATCTAGTTTAGCTGAGATGATTCGGATGCGATGTGAATCTAGTTTAGCTGAGATGATTCAGATGCGATGGGAATCTAGTTTAGCTGAGAGGATTCAGATGCGATGGGAATCTAATTTAGCTGAGAGGATTCTGATGCGATGTGAATCTAGTTTAGCTGAGAGTATTCAGATGCGATGGGAATCTAGTTTAGCTGAGATGATTCAGATCCGATGGGAATCTAGTTTAGCTGAGATGATTCGGATGCGATGTGAATCTAGTTTAGCTGAGATGATTCAGATGCGATGGGAATCTAGTTTAGCTGAGAGGATTCAGATGCGATGGGAATCTAGTTTAGCTGAGAGGATTCAGATGCGATGGGAATCTAGTTTAGCTGAGATGATTCGGATGCGATGGGAATCTAGTTAAGCTGAGAGGATTCAGATCCGATGTGAATCTAGTTTAGCTGAGATGATTCGGATGCGATGTGAATCTAGTTTAGCTGAGATGATTCGGATGCGATGTGAATCTAGTTTAGCTGAGAGGATTCAGATGCGATGGGAATCTAGTTTAGCTGAGATGATTCGGATGCGATGTGAATCTAGTTTAGCTGAGATGATTCAGATGCGATGGGAATCTAGTTTAGCTGAGAGGATTCAGATGCGATGGGAATCTAGTTTAGCTGAGAGGATTCAGATGCGATGGGAATCTAGTTTAGCTGAGATGATTCGGATGCGATGGGAATCTAGTTTAGCTGAGATGATTCAGATGCGATGGGAATCTAGTTTAGCTGAGAGGATTCAGATGCGATGGGAATCTAGTTTAGCTGAGAGGATTCAGATGCGATGGGAATCTAGTTTAGCTGAGATGATTCGGATGCGATGTGAATCTAGTTTAGCTGAGATGATTCAGATGCGATGGGAATCTAGTTTAGCTGAGAGGATTCAGATGCGATGTGAATCTAATTTAGCTGAGAGGATTCTGATGCGATGTGAATCTAGTTTAGCTGAGAGGATTCAGATGCGATGGGAATCTAGTTTAGCTGAGATGATTCGGATGCGATGTGAATCTAGTTTAGCTGAGATGATTCAGATGCGATGGGAATCTAGTTTAGCTGAGAGGATTCAGATGCGATGGGAATCTAGTTTAGCTGAGAGGATTCAGATGCGATGTGAATCTAGTTTAGCTGAGAGGATTCTGATGCGATGTGAATCTAGTTTAGCTGAGAGGATTCAGATGCGATGGGAATCTAGTTTAGCTGAGATGATTCGGATGCGATGTGAATCTAGTTTAGCTGAGATGATTCAGATGCGATGGGAATCTAGTTTAGCTGAGAGGATTCAGATGCGATGTGAATCTAATTTAGCTGAGAGGATTCTGATGCGATGTGAATCTAGTTTAGCTGAGAGGATTCAGATGCGATGGGAATCTAGTTTAGCTGAGATGATTCAGATCCGATGGGAATCTAGTTTAGCTGAGATGATTCGGATGCCATGTGAATCTAGTTTAGCTGAGATGATTCAGATGCGATGGGAATCTAGTTTAGCTGAGAGGATTCAGATGCGATGGGAATCTAGTTTAGCTGAGAGGATTCAGATGCAATGTGAATCTAGTTTAGCTGAGAGGATTTTGATGCGATGGGAATCTAGTTTAGCTGAGAGGATTCTGATGCGATGTGAATCTAGTTTAGCTGAGAGGATTCAGATGCGATGGGAATCTAGTTTAGCTGAGATGATTCGGATGCGATGTGAATCTAGTTTAGCTGAGATGATTCAGATGCGATGGGAATCTAGTTTAGCTGAGAGGATTCAGATGCGATGTGAATCTAGTTTAGCTGAGATGATTCAGATGCGATGTGAATCTAGTTTAGCCGACAGGATTCAGAGTGTACCGTTTTATGCATCAAATTTGTTTTGTGCATCAAACTCATTTTCTATATTTTGCATGCAATAAAATACATGCAACTGTGGACTCGTGCATTTTCTGTTAATCTGCTTTGGAACGATCTGTATTGTGAAAAGCGCTATACAAATAAATGCGAAGTGAATGTGAACATGCATTTTCAGCTGAACACATCATGCATTGACCGAACTGTGTGTCTCTAAGTGTGTTCCTCAAATCCTCGTTTTGCTTCGCTTCAGATTGCATGTCCTTCAGCAGAGCAGAGTCACTCACATGGCTTCAGTGTTTTAAGCGCTGCTGAACTGCACAGGAACGCTTTCTGGACTAGAGACACTGATGCGTGTAGGGATTGAATCCCCAAGACAAAAGCCTCTGAGTGTTTCAACATGTGTTTGTTTTCTGCAGCTCCATCGGCTGTTGCTCACTGTAGCTTCAGCACGCCTTACATTATGCAAGGAAATAAATTCATGCATATTTTACAAGCCAATGCAAACCCTTCCACTCGTTAAGTCTCTCATTTAGAAAGTTCCCACGATGCACAGTGATGCATGTGGCCGACGACGCGTCACCTCAGGACTACTGTGTGTAAAAGACCAGGCCGCTATTGAACATCTGGAACAGCTGCTGAAATGTGCATCAACACAATGAATGTGGAGTCGCGGATGCCTTTCCCATCACGTCAGGATCTGTTAGTGTTCACGGCAGCACCTTACTTAGAAAACCTGTGAGAAGAGCTTCAGCTCGAGAGGAGAACTCAGCGTTTCATGTGAACTGTCCGTGCGGAGGAATGCCACGTTCAGAATAGAAGTTTACAATAAAACAATGCGACTTTAAAAGCTTGGCCTGTGTCATGTGGGGTTTGTTACGTAAAACATGTGGTTAACCAGTGCTTAATGTTTCAGTCGAGGCACATTTAACCTCCTCTTGACCAGTGCAGTGTCACAGTTGTACATCTGTATCTGTGTTGCTCAACATGCAACTATGTAAGTAATTGAAAACAGCTCGCAGAAACTCTCCAATGCATCTGAGCTGCAACAAATGAACACTAGATGCATGTGCATGTGTGATGACAGTCGATTGGGGCAACAAGCTAATGCATGCTGACTTACATTGTTCCTCCATGGAGGCTTGCTTTCGGTTGTTGGTTTCAGGTTGGGAGTCGATGACGGGGTCCAGAGCGGGGATCTCACTGTGGACGATGGCTCTTTTGGATGAATGCAGTTTGTGGAAGACGGGACGTGTGGAAACGGAGCTCAGGAGCAACAAACACGTGGCTAGAATGTCCCATAACTTCATTTTAGACTCAGTTCCTTTGGGGGAAGCTGCAACAGTGCAAAGGTAAACGCATGAGTGTCTGCACAAGAACACACACGGCTGACAAAACGCTGCATGCAAATGCCAAAGGGAGAGATTTTGCATGTGTTAATTTGATGGATATATGGAGCTACTGAACATTTTTCCCAGAGGGAAACGGTTGAGATATGAGAAAGAAATGTAAGTTGTGAAAAGTGCAAAAATTAAATATTGTGATGATGGCCCTGCGTGAAATGTGTTCTGTAAGCTGGAGCCCAGTTAATGCCAAACAGATTTCTGTCAATATTGCAGAGCTGAAAAAATGTGTGTTTTCTGCCAGAGTTTTTCCCCATTCCGGATCCCGAAACCCCTGTTGATGAAAAGCCACATAAACTCTACCAGTTTCAATTATGTTTACTATGACTTTTATAGCAGTACATGACGCTTTACTCTAAATAGCTCCGTTTGTTGATCATTAAAACCTGCTGTTTCTATTTAATCATATTAGCTCAAGCTTTTATATATTTTATATGCCATAAAATGAGCTGGTTTAGATATTTAATGCATCATACAATCACAACCACCACAAATTGTTTCGTTTCAAGTATTTTAACTGCTAAATTTAGTCTATTAAAATGCATTGCTCATTTTTAGACCCCAGTGTAAACAAACTCTCACAGATTTCTCCATATTATTTACTGTGGATTTTACTTGTTTTATTGAAGTTGTGTGTATATATGGTATGGTATCCCACTATATACTGTATACGTTTTACAGTGCACTCTTGAAAAATAAAATATAGACGTTTTAAATTGGGTTTTAAAGACTATAGACATCAGGAGACCCTTTTTAGTTTCTTTAGGTGCTTCATAACAATTTTTTTTAAATTAAAAAAATGAATAAAACTCATCTATACAGCCATAAGAACAAAAGTGTACGGATTATTTACTGTAAAAATGAATAAGTAAAACCTATTTGTGCCCATATGCAGAGATAATGATATAAACTCACCTTAAATGGGGTCCATACAGACCAGAGCTTCAGAAAAGCCCAATTCTCAGAGCAAACCGGGAAACATTTAAAGATCCAAAAGATAAAATCCGTGAGTTATCCTCAAAAATATCACGATTCCCGGTCCATTCACAACATGTTATTATCCACTAGATCCAAACGAAGCGCGCGCTGAAGTGTCCAGATCTCCAGTGTCCTCAAACTGACGCGCGCGCCGCTCAACTCACTGTGCGCAACGCCACGCGACGCGCGAGACTGTGATGCTGCCGCGCGCCGCGTCTGTACGAGAGAAACCCAGCAGCAGCGCGTCAGAAGAAGACATCGGGATGAGGATCCCGACTAACTGGAATAGTTTCCCGCGTCTGTTAAAACGCGCCACATTCTGCCTCCGAAACGCACCGCACAGGTGAAGAAATCCAGGTGAATGCTTGTTAATATCCACACAGATCAGGGGAAAGCGAAGGAGAAGTGATATCTGTCAGCGCACAGCAGGCATGATCCACACGCGCGCCCCTGTAAACGCGTTTGACGCGCACACTGAGCTGTGAGCGCGTTTAAATACGCTCACGGGTTCGAGTGCGCTGACGTCACTCCCTGGCCACGCCCTCAGCCCTCAGCACAGATCCGTCCATCACTGGACACTCATAATAAAGCTGTAATACAACAATATGAAAGCATTAAGAGTTTGTGCTGAAAATGAGCAACTTTTAAAATAAATGAGATATTTGAATAAAGCAAAATCCGGTAACACTTTATTTTACAGTGTCATTGTTACATATGTTACATGTAGTATCTATAGTTATAACTGTAAATTATGCATAATTACATGCAACTAACCCTCAACCAAACCCTAATCCTACCCTAACCCTATAGTAAGTACATGTAGTTAATTATTATTATTACTCAGTACTTAAATATGTAACAAAGACACCTTACAATAAAGGGTTACTCTTTATATTGTGTCTTATATTAACTGCATGTACGTACTTTAGGGGTTGGATTAGGGTTTGGTTTAGGGTTAGTTGCATGTAATTATGCATCATTTATAGTTATTAGTGTAACCCAAAATCCTCATTACTCTAAAATCATATGACTGTATTACTGATCCAAAAGCTTGAAATAGTCTAATTAAACAAGGGCTATTTAGAGTAAAGCATCATAAATATGTATCTTTCAATATGACCATGGTATTCTTTGAAGTACCTTGCAATGTGTGCCATAAACACCGTGGTATTAATCTGGTCCGCCGCAGTGTTTTGTAAGGGAGGCTTGTTGTGTTTGTGTGTTAAGCTGCGTCATACAGTCTTTATTAAAACCATCTTTACTAAATCAAAGGATTGTTTAGACGTTAAAAACCCATCCGCCATTATCAATGAAGCTCTGAATTCAGTCTGAAAAATGAGATCGTCTAAACATAACCTTATCCTAAATATTTATAATTCTGATTACAATCATTTACATTTTTTTGTGCAAAAACAGAAGTACAACAAAGTGATTTATCCTAAAACTGAATTTCTTTCTCAGGATCTTAAGAATAATTGCTTGAACACTAGTTTTGCAGTGAAATATGAATAATGAATTTCTTTACAAGATGCAAATGTAATAGATTGATGCCGACATGCATTGCACAGACTTTAGAACAAGATACAGAATAATCACTAAAAAAGCAATGCAAATAAATAAACGAGTGAGCGCAGATATGTGTGCTTTGTGTATAAAGCGTGAGGAGGAGGAGGAGGAGGAGGAGGGGGTTCCCCAGCTGAGCCTTCGTCCCTCCCAGGATTCCTGCTCAAATACTCATCGTCTTTCTCGCTACTGTCGTCTTTGGCTTCCCTGAGGGAGTTTGTGAGGCTCTATTCATTGTAAAGCTGGTCGGAACAATTCGCATTGTGATGAGCACTATACAAACAAATTGAATTGGAAAAAGAAACTGAATTGAATTAAAGCTGCGTGGCATTATAAGTGAAGCTCTCTAAACATCCTGAGTCTGAAAGCACATCCATGCACATGTACATTTCAATTAGAGTGAAACATGAAGACGTGGATGTTGGAGAAGTAATGCTTATTAAACCTTTTTTTTTTTTTTGTATGCATGCAGTTCTCATGCCCTCATATTCAATTTATTCTCTTTTTTAAAAAGAAAATCTTTAATATTTAGTCACTGCATGATGTTCTTAGTGTTTTTGTCTTGTTTTCCAGTACAGATAAACATTCTTAAATCAAGATGCATTTATGTAAGTAAAATACTGAGTTTTTTTTTTGCAATGTATGTATTAAAATGAATAGCAAAAACAGCTAAAATGGGATTAAACACGATATCATTTTTTCCCCTCATGTTTTCTTGTCCTGTGCATTCAGACAGTGTTGGTGGAGTGTATTGTGAAGGTAAAAGCATTGGTTGTCATTATGATTTCCTAAAGAAATCTGTCATATAATACATGAAGGGCCAAACCCTTAAACTCAACACTCAAATCCTGAAAGGCGAGACACGGCATGTTCTCTTTGAATAGGTATTAAAGTGAATATGCAGAACTTGGACGGGTCTATAAAGTGTGTTTGCTTTTAACCTTCTGTTGGGTGTTTTCATAATGCAGGCATGATGTTTTTATGCTCTTTCCATCAGCGGGTTTGTCATGATGCTCTGAACACTGCGTTTAATTGTAGCGGTGTAGCGATTCCCTCACGTCACGATTCGATACATATCACGATACTGAACTCACGATACCATATTAGTGCGATACTCCAAGACATATGATAAAAGATTAACAAAAAATGTACTGTTGATTAAAATGCTAAATTTAATATTACATTGTGTGTGTAAATGAATAGGGTTGGACTTGGGAAAAGACACCAGGATAACAATATTCATGATTCTGAAGCTGAAAATACTGAATTATTTTAGACAAATATTCTTGCACTCTTTCACTGACTAGATATATTTAAAATAACATAGGCCACTTTTAACTGATAACAAGACATTTGGCATTATCAGGATCCACAAATATTCCCCCATTGCATTATTATACATTATATTTAACATTATAGTAGTTTAATGTAGTACTGACACTAAAACTCGAATTTGAAAACTTAATTTTTTTCCTCACACAGAAATTGTCATTTTGGGTGAATTATACACGATACATATTGTCATTATCCACGATACATATTGATGCATTTTTGTATTGTGATATATTGTTACACCCCTAGTTAATTCTAATGAATAAAAAGTTTAAACATGTTGCACTATAGACAACAGTTCAGGCATTCAGAGCATGCTAGGAAAACTTAAACTGTAAAAACAAACTCCACTATTCATCAAGTGAAATGTGCATTAATGTTTTCAGGCCAGCACACAGATGCTGTGGAAGTGCTGGTCGAGTATCCGGTGTTCTTCAGCTGTGACTCTGTGATCCCGTCGTCCCGTAGTGAAGTCCGATCTCCTGCTCCTACATTTAGATATGTGCGTGTGGTTATATTTAAGCAATTTTGTCATAATTGGCCGTAAGCCCAGTGCTTCTGCTTTAGCTTCTTCATTGATCCATGTTATCACTCCGCGAGTCTGTCTTTCACAGCATTTACAATCACGTTTTTTTTTTTGCTTAGTTAAAGTCACCATGAAATCTTGTTTTTTTTATGTAATATTGTAGTGTAAATAATAAATTATTTATTGGTGCAGTTCATTTTTGTTTTTAAATTATGTGCCGCGTAATCTTTAATCAAGCAGCAACATCTTTTCTCTGATGATGTGGGCGGGGCAACCTGTCACTCACATGAGATCCACCAATAGCAAACCACAACCATCCAATCAATTTCCCACAGACACAATCAAGCCCCGCCCACATTTGATCTTGTTCCAGAAGCGTTTCACTCGGATATACGACACAATAGGGAAGAAAACACTAGCACAACTTCCATTTCATGATGACTTTAGGGGGCTGTTTACACGACACCGTTTTCAACTAAAAAGATAAAACTTTTTATGCGTTTTGGCCGTTCGTTTACACGACAATGGCGTTTTAAGTGCTTGAAAACGCAAAGTTTTGAAAACGGGTTTCAAAGTGCAAGTCTCCGTGTAAAACAACAAAAACGCGAATCTCTGAAGACGATGACGTCATGCACATGCGTATTACGTGTTCAGTCTATACAGTGTTTCATCGCCATCTACTGGCCTGGCAGCAGAATACAGCGTTTTTATTCGTTTTCGCGGATCCGTGTGAAGAGGGATCGTTTTGACAATGGGGTTGTCTGTTCGCGAAAAACTTCTCAGTTTTAAGCATATCGTTGTCGTGTAAACGTACCCTAAGACATCATCAGGTTTAAAAAAAAAGTTTCATCATGAATGCACGTTCATTTATATTGGCACCATTAATCAAAGGGCTTTAATCAAGTTAATCCAAATTTAGTTTTTGAATTTTTCTGAAAATTGGTCTTAAATATCTTTAGTTTCTATTTAAAATTTTAATGACTTGCGTATAGTTTTTGCCGTAAAAATAGCCAAGGAAGCTGGCATGGCATTCAAAACAAACATAACACTTGAGTAAATGCATTAACGTATATTATGAGCAATACATTTGTTACAGTATTTATTTATCTTTGTAATAAAACTACAACTGTTAGTTCATGTTAGCTCAGGTCCATTGAATAATATTATGAGATACAACTTTTAATTTGAATAATGTTTTAGTAAATAACTAAGTAACTAACAAATGTTACCCAAACATCAATCCTGCATTTGTTGCATCCAACGCTCAGTTCATGTTTTTGAAACACATAATCTGTTGCGAAACTAATGCAGGCAGCATTTTAATACAGTAGAGTTCCAATCTAGTTAAAAATAGGCCTATCCTATTTTGCTCACTGTTTGTGCTGTGTATTTATATGCATATTACGTTGTCATAATCATTATTTCAGCTAGTAGAATGCAGGTGCATATAAGCAATGAAGCAGCTCACTTAGTTTTGAAAGCGAGTTGCAAAGTGTCAAACTCGTTGATGACGGTGTGGAAACATGCGTGAGTAATCAGAGATCTCTGCTTGAATAAAATGCTCAGGATAATGAAATTACAGGCATATGGGTGCAGGGAACAAAGATCAGAGTGCCACAGTGTGAGATGGGTGTTTCCCTGATCTAGACAAGCTGTGATTACCACAACTCCCTTCAGTAAACAATTAGATAAAATAAATGTTATTTCCAGAACGCCAACGATAACATCTGCCGTGTTGGTGAGGAACCAAAGTACACACTGACGATGACCCAGTAACAACGTGTTTGCATGCATAATTGCAAGGTCTTTTGAATAACACATGTGAATCGAACAATACAGAGTCATGTGAGCTTTTTATTCCACATTTCATTAGATGTGTTTGCGAAGCTGACAGCGTTTGTCTACTTCTGCAGCATTATCGTTTGCAAACGCTTGGACACATGATAATGGTGGTCCATACAATAGTATTATGGTCTTTAAATTATTTTCTGGTCATTTTTGAGATTTGTTTTGCTTTTCATAATGTTTTGTATCAAACTAGTAATATTTGATTGCATTTGATCTATTTGCGACTGTAGATTTCAATGACAATACATATCTTTAAAGAGTTTTTTCTCCACTTCAGTATCACTTATATACACCAAAATTTACAGATTTATTCCTGTATATATTCTGAAGGTTTTTACTGAGGGGTTTCTTCAAATATCATTCAGCTGATGTGGCATCAGTTGTTATTGTTTGCAAACGCTTGTTATATTGGTGGTACAATAGAAATACTGGGTCACAACACAAAAACTGTGTGTCTTTTTCTCCACTTCAGCAACACTTACATACACCCAAATTTAGATATTAATTCCTGTGTACATTCTGAAGGTTTTTACAGAGGGGATTATTCATATATAATTCGGCTGATTTTGTACAATGTTTTATTCATGAAAACATGGTGGGGAAAAAAAAAATTGTTCTCCACTTCAGTATCACTTATATACACCAAATTTTACAGTTTTATTCCTATCTATATTCTGAACATTTTTACTGAGGGGTTTGTTCATATAGTATATTTCTCCTGATTTATATAACATTGTATTACTAAAAACATGGAGAAAGTGTATTTTTTTCTGTCGGTTGTCAGTATTTTCAGATTTATGTAGTGATAAAAAGACATAGCCAAAATCCCCTCTGTAAAAATATTTAACTCTAATATGTCAACAAAATGTAACAAGAATTTTAAACCTGGCTTCATCCAATGTTCAGATTTGTGTTCTGGAAAGGTATGCAATTAGCAATTAATCTAAATATTTATAACGTTAATATAACATTTTAAACTAAATTGGGCAATTCAATCAGTCAACCATTACTTTGTAATAATGTGTGATATTTAGCAGTTTCAGAGTGAAAATATTTTCTGAATAAAATCCTACATCAAACTTAGTTTTAGAGGTTTGATCAAATGACTAACATTATAAGTTTAATTATGAAACAGATCTTGCATGAGGTGTGGATGACACTATTAAACAATCTAGGACAGGTTACTTTTGGACACACTGATTTTGACCTCTACTAACAGTGTTTTCATAATATTCATAATGATCGTGTCAATGGGAACATACTGCAGGTAAACACACTTTGTTTACTAGATAAAAGCTGTTATCTAATATGTGTTTATAGTTAAGTTGACATGTTACTTGCTCCGTTGCACTTATTTTCCCGCTCTCTTCACAGGAATCTGATCAGCTCCACCTGTGTTACCTGTGGAGAAAATTATGTCATGTATTTGGTGTGTTACTATCATAGCATGTGTAAAATGTCAGTGGCCGTTGTGTCAGATATTCACTGGGTGTGCTGGTTCAGGTGATAAATGCAGATAAGAAATGTATAAAGTTAAAGAGCAGAGATATGTTTGGACTTTCATCACCATAGAAGGACGGTATTCAGGGTTGTGTGTTGAATTAATGACAGTCTTCCTTTCTATTTTAAGCGCAGAAGTCCAAAAGCCAGTGCAATGAAAGGTCTGTCAGCTGATGATGAAAGAGTCTCTTCTAGAATGAAGCGTTTCAGGTGAAATTGAGTCAATATTGTTACCCAGAGGAAAATGTTATTGCCCTGCTCTTTCACTGGAGATTTAATGAGTTATGAGTCACTGAAGTATCAACTTTGTCTCAGATGTTTCCTGAAATTCCTGAAAACACAAATGAGTCAATAGTTCTCATTCATCTATTAAATAAACGTGGAACAGCTCAGATCATTTGATGAGAAATATCTGAGATTTCGAACTTGTGATCATCCCAGACTTTGCTATCGTCTGGATCTCTTGTGAATCTCTAGATGAGACCGATGATGTAACTGCAATCTTATTCTCAGGAGTCATTTCATGTCCTTTTAATCTCAATGTTGATATATAAATGAGATCTCACTTGTGATTTCTTTTTGTTCTTACAGGTTGTTTTGACTTGAATGCATCGCTGAGAAAGTGTTGCAAATAACTCCTTTTTTTTTTGCAAATGACTTGATCCCTCTGATTTTTTTTTTTGTGTGTGCAAATTACTTGATTTTTTTTTTTGCAAGTAACTTATTTTTAAAAAATAAAATGCAAATAACTTTTACGATTTAGATTTTTTTGCAGACTTTATTGCAACTTGATCCAAATAACTTTACCCTTCTGATTTTTTTTTCTGGGGGGGGGGGGGGGGGGGGGGGGGGGAGGGGGGGGATGAATAAAGGCCCTGATAAACTTCAAGTGATATCGAAGAGCGAACTGGTGTGATGTAATTGGAGTTTGTTTCAGGCATTCGAAACCGCTTCGAAAAGTTCGCACTGACTGGTAAACACCATGAGCTACCATTGGTCCATGGTGGTGATGACATAATAAGTAGGTGTGGCTCTGGAGCTCCGCCTTCTTTGACATGACAATCTTCATTTCCTCTTTTCAGTCCGTCAAGGTCAGACACGAGTAAAACATGAACACACCGGAGAGCCGTTTTAGAGTATAAATTGAAGTGTAATTCTCACTTAAAAGCAGCACTGACACTGTTATTCATGTTCAATACTGTAAAGCTGCTTAGTTTAAAGCAAACTATTGTATAAAGTACCGTATAAATAAATAAATGTGATGTAACTTTACGCTATTACCAGATGCGGTTTCACTTTATTTTAAGGTGTCATTGTTACAGTGTAATTATGTATTTAAGTACTGAGTAATATTAAGCAACTATACTTAGTATAGGATTAGGGTTTGGTTGAGGGTTAGTTGCATGTAATTATGCATAATTTACTGTTAATACTATGGTAAGTACATGTAACATGTGTAACAAGGACACAGTAAAATAAAGTGTTAGCCCAGATGCATTCTTAACTGTTTTCTCACTGCTGTCATTTTTGTTGTGTTTATTTTGTTATTGAGAGGAAAAAACACAACACATGTTAACATATTCATCTAAACGGTGTCAGGATGTTCCAACTTCTTTTTACTCCTAAATGAAGAACTTTGCTGTGAGTATAAAATGAATGTGATAAAATAGAATGTCTCCTTTATTTTAGATATATTAATGAGATCCCATTTGTAATTGATTTTCTTTCTTACAGGCTGTTTTGACCTGAATGCATGGAGAAAGCTCTTTTGTTTCATTAGAGGTGTTTTGCTTGTTGGCAACTCTTTTGAATTCCTCCTGCTGTAAAATCTATGGAAGCTTGTTTCCGCCACTGAATTAAAAAAATTATAATTGCGACTTTTTATCTCACAATTGCGAGATATGAAGTCAGAATTGTGAGAAATAAAGTCGCAATTGCAAGAAAAACTTTTAATCTCACAATTCAGATTTTTTTTCTTCACAATTGCGAGTTTACATCTCGCAATTCTGACTTTATAACACATAATTGCGAGTTTATATCTCAAAATTCTGACATATTTTCTCAGAATTGTGAGATATAAACTCGCAATTGCGAGTTATCAGGCCAATTCTAAGGGGGAAAAAAGACTAACTTTTTTCCCCCCAGAATAGTTTATATCTCACAATTCTGACTTTACAACATGCAATTGCGACTTTATATCACGCAATTCTGACTCTATAACCTGCAATTGCGACTTTATTTCAATAAATTCTGACTTTATATCTCGCAATTCTGACTTTACAACACGCAATTGCGACTTTATATCAATCAATTCTGACTCTATAACCTGCAATTCTGACTTTATATCTCGCAATTCTGACTTTACAACACGCAATTGCGACTTTATATCACGCAATTCTGACTCTATAACCTGCAATTCTGACTTTATATCTCGCAATTCTGACTTTATAACACGCAATTGCGATTTTATATCTCGCAATTCTGAGAAATAAAGTCAGAATTGTGAGATAAAAAGTCGCAATTACCTTTTTTATTTTTCATTCTGTGGCGGAAACAAGCTTCCATAAAAATCTGATCAAAAAAATTGAGGAAACCCATTGCCTTAAAATGATTAAGTAAATAAACTCAAAGAAATTAAGTAATGTGGAATTGTTAAAGGAGCCGTATGTAAGATTGTGGCCAAAACTGGTACTACAATCACTTTCAAATTACTGTAGAGCGGTGTATCCCCTCCCCCTCCCCCCTGACTCGAGGTTGCCAGATCGGCTGCAGGATTAGCAACGTTGGCGTCTTCAAATTCTTCTCCGTTTTCAGCCGTCTCCATCTTTCAAATTCATCTCCTATACAAATCCTTGTTTTATTTCGGACTTTGTCACAAAGTATTTCGGAATCACAACGAGTTTTTTTTTTTGATTCGTAACGTTAGACATTTGTTTATCCGACACGTTTGTGGTAACTACAGCAGAGCTGGCAACCCGGATGCCGCAACAGTACTGACTTCGTGATTGGTAGATAGGTGGTGGCGCATCAGTCCAAAACACAACATGACAACATCAACATCAGTTGAGGGCTGCAACTTCACTTTTTAAATGACAATATCCTGGCCGGACTACTGTTGTCAGTGATATAAGTATTTGAAATGAACATGATTTCTTCATGTCTAGTGACATATCAGGGCCATTTTATGATTAATTGAAATACATTTCCTACATACGGTTCCTTTAAGTTCAGATAACTTAATTTTTTCAATTAAGCGTTAAGTTTATTTACTTAAAAAAATTTAGTAAACTCGTTGCCTTAAAATGATTAAGTAAATAAACTTAACGCTTAATTGAAAAAATTAAGTTATCTGAACTTAACAATTCCACATTACTTAATTTCTTTGAGTTTATTTACTTAATCATTTTAAGGCAATTTTTTTAAGTAAGTGAACTGAACCCTTTTTACAGTGAGTAGATCAGCGTTGGCGGATGTCCAGCACACTGAATGCTTACAGGAGTCGTGATGTCCAGTGGCCTGCATAACCAATCTGGGAATGACGCAGGGCATTTGAGGGAGCAGCTCCCAAGCGTTTCATTCCTGTCGGTGTGTTTCCACAGGACAGGCATAAGTGCTGGTTCACAGGCCCTGCGCGGTCAGTATAAGCCCTGGACAACCTCTCTGCGGTCAGGCCTGAGTGTGTTTGCAACCCTTTCTGACTGCGCCAGACGTGAACTCATAGCATGCCAGCGCTGTGTTCTGGTACCTGTGAGCTTTGAGCTCCAGCAGCTGCTGGTCATGACGGCTCCTACAGGAGAAGTGCTCTCTGACATGTGCTGACATTCCTCATTACTGCTGTAGAAACGGCTGGGGCTGTAGTGCATTTTGAAAGAATCTTCACCATTAATGCATTTTTTGCAGATAACTTTTTGAATGTTTTTTGTGTGTGTGTGTGTGTGCAATCATTTTAGATTTTTTTGCAATTAACCTGATTGTTTTAATTTTTTTGCAAATGACTTGATTTTTTATTTTTGCAAATAAGTTGATCTTTTTTTAAAAACTTGAATTTTTTGTAAATATTTTTTTAAATAGCATGATAGTTTTTAATTTTTTGCTAATGACTTGATTTGTTGTGTGCAAATAACTTGATTCTTTTTGCATTTTTTGTAAATAATTCATTTTTTGCAAATAACCTGATAGTTTAGAATTTTTACAAACAACTTGATCTTTTTGAATTTACACAGATTAAATTTTTTTACACAGATTGGTTTTGCGCAGTCAATCTGTTTTGCAGTTCTTAAAACTGTTGTTTTCTCTTGCAAATCATTGTTCACTGTTTTTGCAAATAACTTGATCTTTTTAAATTTACAAAGATTGAATTTCTCACACAGATTGGTTTTACGCGCGGGTCAATCTGTTTTGCAGTTGTTAAAACTGTTGTATTCGCTTGCAAATAATCACCGTTCACAGGTTTGCAATGCTTTTGGCCGTATTTCGGCAAAAAAAAAAAAAAAACGTGCCAAAAGTGTAAGCGCAGAAAAATGGGAGCCAGAGGAATAGAGATCATATTTATTTCGCATTAGCATGAAGCTGCAGTTTCACAATATATGAATTACATTTACGAATAACAGTACAATGTTGAATATAATCATTTTTTTCTTATACGCCTGAAACGTGATACAGCTTTACAAAACTTCTCTTGCGCATGCATCCATGGAATTGAGTCTGAGATGCACGGCAACAGTTGCTAAGGTAAGATTAGAATCTTCATTCTTTTGTCCTTCTAAATAGAATTCTAACACATGATCCTGCTTTGATGTCTTTCTGATTTAATCAACAAAATATTTGGCCTCGGTTTGATTGATATCACCATTTCTTTATTGAGCTGTTATAGAAATGCACCATTTGTTTTGCTGAGAAACCAAAGATGAACAAGAACAAACTGAAACTAGACTTACGCAGTTGATCATTTTGGCTTATATCAAACAATTACAAAAAATTCTGAATATCAGCATGACTTGCTCTGTTCTCATATTCAGCATCTTATATATTCAAACTATGAACTGTCCAGTTTCAGTCTGATGTTGACGTTCTCATCGTCCTTGGTTTCTCATGGGCTGTTCATATTTCCTGAGTGCTATTTTGATGCTAACCTCTAGCATTCAGCGTGGCCACGTTAAAAGCGTGGTGCACACGGTCTTAGTCTTGACTTACATGTAACAAGGTTGCACTAATTGGAGGAGGAAGTGCCGGGGATGTTTAGCACTGACGGGGCTTGAGGACCAGGACTTGATCCGAGCCTGAATTGGATCCTGTTTCGGCCTCCAATTCCTCCAGTTAATCCGGCAGCGGCTGCAGGGAAGCAAGCGTTCATTCGACCGCAGAAAACCGAGTTGGCAGCACCTGCAAAAGGAGGATCAAAGAGGCCAGAGTTAAGCCACCTACTGGATCCGTGTCACACTATATCCTCGGGATACTGTGTCGATCTCAGTGGCCACAGCAGCTGGTCAGCTGGACACCAGTGGATCATGTTTGGCTGTGAGATCCTCTCGGAAATCAAGGCTTCTCAAGGTCAGAGATGGTTCTAGATGGGCGTTGCACAGTGTTCTCATACCTCCGATTTGTCAGGAGATATTCAAGATAACATGCCTTAATGTGACGCCATATTAGTCTGATATACGATTTAAAATAAAAAAACCTATAACTCTAACATTAAAGGGATAGTTCACCCAAAAATGAAAATTAGCCCACGATTTACTCACGCTGAAGTCATCCTAGGTGTATATTACATTCTTCTTTCAGACGAATACAATCAGAGTTATATTTAAAAATGTCCAAGCTTTATAATGGGAGTGAATGGCAGTTTCTGTTTTGCGTCTATCCATCATAAAAGTGCATCTATCCATGATAAAAGTGCATCTATCCATGCTAAAAGTGCATCTATCCATGATAAAAGTGCATCTATCCATCATTATAGTGCATCTATCCATCATAAAAGTGCATCTATCCATGATAAAAGTGCATCTATCCATCATAAAAGTGCATCTATCCATCATAAAAGTGCATCTATCCATCATAAAAGTGTGGCGTGATGCCAATTGCTTTATAGAGGGGTTTCACCAACGTCACGTTCTGGGCGGTAACCCGGATGCGCGGCCATTATGGAGGCACTCGGATGTAAACAACAGCATGGATTGCACTGTTCATGTACTACTGAACACATTGTTACACTAATAAACCACGGAAAAAACACGTGGTAGGTGCGAAATCATATAGAGAAGGACTTGGGAAGCAGGAGAGAGCGCAACATTTTGACAAACTAAAGTTAATATGTTTTATGTGGTCACATTATGTGGTAGCTGCTAAAGATCCGAACGAGTTAGCTTCTCTAGCACGTAACATTACTGCAATTCTTCCATCTATTTATTATCCCGAAATAAGATACGTTCAGATTGTCAGTCCAAAAAAGCACATGAAATTCGTTTCAAGTTACATCCATATGTGGTTTGAAATCCTATTCAAATCACATATCAGGACATCAGCCTCAGTCTGAACGCTCGGATTTCGCGTGGTATGTCTTAAAATGCAAACGTCATTTATAGGAAACATGCTGAAAGTCACTGCCGAAACAATGCTGTGTTGTTGCAAAGTGCCGGACGAGCAGAAAAATATTATTTCTGAAACCGGCGCAGACGAGGGTGGGAAAAAAGCAGTAACGTTAAGGCCTGTTCACACCGGGACGAATTTCGCGCGCGTTATTCGCCGACGTTTAACGCCTCGTGACTAAACAAAGGGCGCCAATGTGAGTGTTCACACCAACGCGTAAAACGCCACGCGTAAAAGCGTCATTTTTTTTAAAACGCCTCGGGTTCGTTTTTTTGGTTTGACGCGCCGCGTCAAAAACTATCCGACCAATGAGATTGGCGCTTTTGCTCACGTGTCTGGAGCTTCTGAAGTTACAGTAAAACACAACTTGGGGGCGCTCAAACACAAAACGGTCTTGCCGAGCACACATACGTAATGGCGAAGAAGATATACAGCGTCTACACTCTGCCGGGAAGAAATAAGACGAGGAAGATGCAAGGCTAGATGAGTAGAGCTGCTGGTCTTGTTGGTGTCTTTATAAAGAGACACCAACGACAATAAAGAACCATATAACAAACGCGACAAACTTGCTCTCTTCTTCTGAGTGACAAGCGAGTGTCAGAAGCGTAGTTGCGCAGCGCCACTTTGTGGACCGGGGTATTTCTGTTTTACATTAAGCGCCATCTAATGTCAGGGAATGAATTTGCGTGTTCACTCGGCTCATCGTCAGCGAAAATCGCTTGGGTGTGAACACAAAAAAAAACGCTGACGAATAACGCGAGCCGATATTCGTCCCGGTGTGTACAGGCCTTTACATACCAGCCTCCTACAGTTCTGCCGTAGTAGTCCAGCGTGGCGGCTATACACATTTCCATGTTGTAACATTTAAAAAAGACAACATCTAACATTATATTGCAAATGCAACCCCTCCATCAACGCAAAGTCATTGCCATATTACCAAATAACATGCATGGACACACACGTCGGATCTGAACAGTTGCGATACACAGTGTGGACATCATTTTAGATCAGATTCCAATTTGATACAAATAATCGGATTTGGACTGACAGTGTGAATGTAGCCATAGTTAATACGTCGACATTTTAGCCATAGTCAACGCTTCATTTACACCTGTCTGATGATGTACTACCTCTCTCAACCACAAACGCCTTCTTTCATCAGTTTTTTGCACTCTTCTCTTTAACTTTTGACAGTCTATAGCACTCGACATGTTTTTTCCCGATGTGACCGATTGGTACAGACAAAAACTCGACCATTTTTCAGCAGCAATAATCAGCCAAATTTGCGAGTCCATTCAGTTTAGTGGCATTATTTACGTTCTGTGCCTCCAAAATGGCCGACTTCCGGATTGATGACGCGTCGTGAAACCCCTCTATAGTGTACTGAGTGGCGTGATGCCATTTTACAATGCATTGAATGGTGTGATGCCAAAACACTTTTCCAGTGTTTAGTGGCAGGATGCCGGGCATTCTCTGGTGCACACAGTAATGTGAGGCCAAATACTTGATTTTAAATGTGTATTTCTCTGTTTTTGTTATGTAATGTGTTTCTTTTAAATGTCTGGTGCTGCAGTGGTTGTATTTGTGAGCCCAAAACAAATTTGGTATAAAGTAAACCATACCATACCATCTATCATGATAAAAGTGTATCTATCCATCATAACAGTGCATCTATCATGATAAAAGTGCATCTATCCATCATAAAAGTGCATCTATCCATCATAAAAGTGCATCTATCATCATAAAAGTGCATCTATCCATCATAAAAGTGCATCTATTCATCATAAAAGTGCATTTATCCATCATAAAAGTGCATCTATCCATCATAAAAGTGCATCTATCCATGAAAAAAGTGCATCTATCCATCATAAAAGTGCATCTATCCATGATAAAAGTGCATCTATCCATCATAAAAGTGCATCTATCCATCATAAAAGTGCATCTGTCCATCATAAAAGTGCATCTATCATCATAAAAGTGCATCTATCATCATAAAAGTGCATCTATCCATCATAAAAGTGCATCTATCATCATAAAAGTGCATCTATCCATCATAAAAGTGCATCTATCATCATAAAAGTGCATCTATCATCATAAAAGTGCATCTATCCATGATAAAAGTGCATCTATCCATGATAAAAGTGCGTGCATCTATCCATGATAAAAGTGCATCTATCCATCATAAAAGTAACCTGGCCCTAGCCAGATGAATTTCGCTCCGCCTAGCTTCACTCACATCCATCTGGAACCGATCCATTGAAATGGCGTTTCAGAAGGCTGGGCCTTATAAAAAATCCTTGCATATGATTGGATAAGCCACTTGTCTGTCATCTTTATCGACGTGCTATTTCAACCACTCACACCGAAGCCAACCCGTGACGCTGAAGAATCCGGTCGGGAGAAGGCACTGATCTATATAACATCGTTTCCACCAACAAAAGCCTTAAGAGCCGTTCTCTGATGTTCTTTTAATGAAACAATATTAGGTAGATTGGACAACACGGATGAAATAGCAGCATCAATGTTAACGCTTGTTTCCTCGATGCGAGCCGCCATTGTTGTCTGAATCAAAACAGTCTCACGGTCGCTTCTCCATGCGTCCTGATTGGCTAAACCATAAAGTTGGTTGGGGAAATCACTCTCAATGGAAGAGGTTCCAGATGGATGTGAGTGAAGCTAGGCGGAGCGAAATTCATCTGGCTAGGGCCAGGTTATCATAAAAGTGCATCTATCCATCATAACAGTGCATCTATCCATCATAACAGTGCATCTATCATGATAAAAGTGCATCTATACATCATAAAAGTGCATCTATCCATGATAAAAGTGCATCTATCCATCATAACAGTGCATCTATCATGATAAAAGTGCATCTATCATCATAAAAGTGCATCTATCCATCATAACAGTGCATCTATCATGATAAAAGTGCATCTATCATCATAAAAGTGCATCTATCCATCATAACAGTGCATCTATCATGATAAAAGTGCATCTATCATCATAAAAGTGCATCTATCCATCATAAAAGTGCATCTATCCATCATAAAAGTGCATCTATCCATCATAAAAGTGCATCTATCCATGATAAAAGTGCATCTATCCATCATAAAAGTGCATCTATCCATCATAACAGTGCATCTATCATGATAAAAGTGCATCTATCATCATAAAAGTGCATCTATCCATCATAAAAGTGCATCTATCCATCATAAAAGTGCATCTATCCATGATAAAAGTGCATCTATCCATCATAAAAGTGCATCTATCCATCATAAAAGTGCATCTATCCATCATAAAAGTGCATCTATCCATGATAAAAGTGCATCTATCCATGATAAAAGTGCATCTATCCATGATAAAAGTGCATCTATCCATCATAAAAGTGCATCTATCCATCATAAAAGTGCATCTATCCATGATAAAAGTGCATCTATCCATCATAAAAGTGCATCTATCCATCATAACAGTGCATCTATCATGATAAAAGTGCATCTATCATCATAAAAGTGCATCTATCCATCATAAAAGTGCATCTATCCATCATAAAAGTGCATCTATCATGATAAAAGTGCATCTATCATCATAAAAGTGCATCTGTCCATCATAAAAGTGCATCTATCCATCATAAAAGTGCATCTATCCATCATAACAGTGCATCTATCATGATAAAAGTGCATCTATCATCATAAAAGTGCATCTATCCATCATAAAAGTGCATCTATCCATCATAAAAGTGCATCTATCCATCATAAAAGTGCATCTATCCATGATAAAAGTGCATCTATCCATCATAAAAGTGCATCTATCCATGATAAAAGTGCATCTATCCATGATAAAAGTGCATCTGTCCATGAAAAAAAAGTGCATCATTAAACTGCTCCACAGGCTCCAGGAGTTAATAAAGGCCTTCGGAAGCGAAGCCATGCGTTTGTATAAGAAAAATATCCACATTTAAAACTTTATAAAGTAAAATAACTAGCTTTCGGCCAAATGAACTTATGGATTCCACTTAAGTTCAAGCGCAACTTATGCAAGTAATGCAAAGTACTGCTGATATTTACAATAAAAGACAGCCTAGAAACTGCATAGCAACTACCTGGAACACCTTATCCACTGTTTAGCAACACCCTGGATACCACCTACCACACCCTAACAACTGCATAGCAACCACCCAGAGCACATTTACATTTATTCATTTAGCAAAGCGTTATCCAAAGCGACTTATAAATGGGTGTATAACAATGCCCTGGAAACCACACAGAACACCTTATCAACTGCATAGCAACCACCTAGAACGCCCTAGAAACTGTATAGCAATGCCCTATAAACAACATAGAACACACAAGCAATGTCCTAGTAGCCACCCAGAGCACATTTACATGTATTCATTAAGCAGATGCTTTTATCTAAAGCAACTTACTGTACAACAGTGCAACAATCTAGATCACTCTTGCAAATGCATAGCAACGCCCTATAAACACGCAGAACACCCTAGCAACCACATAGAAAGTGTGAAAGTGTTATCACACGTTTTCAAGTGTTAGGGAGTTGCTAACTACAAGTAGCGATGCTACTAACTTTATTGTATTTTTAGTAGCTTACACAGTAGCTCAGTTACTTTTAAAACAGTGTAGCTTGACAGTAGCTTGCCCCTATTCCAGCGAGTAGCGGCGTAGCGTGACCAAAACCTACATTCTGTCTTGTGCCATTGCTTTGGCGAAGCATCTGTCAATCGAACGGAAAACAAAACCCCGATATAGCTTAGTGTGCATATTACACGGTAAAGCTGAGATCTGATTAAACAGCTTGCGGCGGGTTTAGCTTTCAGAGCGAAGCGTCTCAGAGTTCACAGTAAATGCCGCGAGCTTCATCACTGCGTGTGCTGGAGTCTATCCTGCGTTTTTGACCACTGTGTATCCAATTTAAGTTGCATATATTTTGTTCTTGCGTTTGTTACATTTGTAGCAGTTTTACACTTTGACAGTCAGTTTGAGATAAATACTATATTTGAATACTGTGTGTATCTTTGGATGGTTTACAAAATAATACAATATTCTTTGAAATCAAAATTGTACTGCATTACTTTGTTTTAAACCCCAAATTAGCTAGCTACTTTTTCTGAAGGGTAGACTAGCTTGACTGTATCCTAAAGTTCCCCTGTAGTGTAAATCAAGCTTTTAATGTTGTTTATGTGTCTATGTGGTGTTTTTAATACGCTTTAAGACACACCATGTGTAAGTTCATAAGTCGACAGCATTGCTGAGTATTTTCTGCTTAAAACTGCAGTGAACCAAAGACAGTCTCAAAAACACGGTTTGAAATCGCTGGTGTTTCTGACGTCACAAACGACCTTGTAACCAATCAGATCAACGTGTGATCGTCAACCAGTGGATCTCTGAGCTGAGCGAGTGAGTGGAGGCGGGGCTCATTTGCATATTCATAGAACCGCGTGTACTAAATGAGGCAAGGGTGTCGAGTTACATTCAAGATATTTCAAGGCATGAAGAATATTTTTTCAAAGAAAAACATTTAAATATGTAATTTTAGAGATCAAAGATGAGTTTTAAGGGATACAATAATTGGACTTTAACTACAAGTAGCTTGTCAAACTACAGTTTCAGAGTAGCTTCCCGCACGGTGATGATTTCTTCAGAAAGTGTTTTGTCGTCACGTGCTGCAGTTTTGATGCCTGAGGTCTTGTAAACATCAGGTCGAGGTGTAGTTCAGTATCAGTGACACATGGTGTGAAGGTGCAGTGAAGCGCTCGTGTCTATCTGTGTTACAGCGTATAAATCAGCAGCAACTCCTCCTCTCTGAAAGCAGCATCAAAGCATCGCAACCACAGACCGGCATAAAGCCGTCCTTCACTCGCTCGCCTGCAGATGTTCTGGAAGATATCCATTACCTCACTGTTATTCTACCTCTTCAACACAATGAATTACTGATCATTAAGACTGCATAATTTAAAAATAGCACCGCAATTAGGCTAAATATGAACGGTATGTTAGATCACTTTGGCTGGAAAAGAGGTTAATGATTACTGTGTTTGTTTGTTTTTTGTAGGAAAGGAACATTTGAGTTCTCATACACTGCAAAAAATGCTTTTCGTACTTTTGTCTTGTTTCCAGTCCAAATATCAAAAAATTCTTAAATCAACATGCATTTAGGCTACTAACTAGATTAATAGAATGCCATAAGATATTATGTCTTGTTTTCTGGGGAAATAAATCAAAATTAAGTGAGTTTAAAAAAGGCAAAATTATCTGCCAATACGCTGATTTCACGCAGCCGCCATTTTGAAATCGAAAGGTGGGAAGAACCCCGGAAGTACAGATAAACAACAATGCCTTGGACTACCAACCTGAAGCCGCTGCCGTGATTTACACTATTGGATGTTAATATCCAATATAGGATATAGTTCGTTCCTGCTGCTTTTTTTACTTTCTGAATTATATATATAAAAAAAAATCATAAATGAATTTCACTGTATATAGTCTAAAGTATGAAAGAAATGTATGTACATTTTTAGAATAACTCATTTCAACATTAAATACAACAATACGCCATCGCATTCGCGACTCTCCTATGATTAAAGGCGACACTTCCGGTTTCCGGAGCATCGCTTTCGATTTCAAAATGGCGGCTGCGTGAAATCAGCGTATAGGGAAAGAAAAATATTCTGAATTCATTCAACATTTTTCTTACCCCATAGGTAGATCATTTAGCTTTTTTTAAGCAACAACTTTGATTTATTTCCTAGAAAACGAGACATAATATCTTAAGGCATTTTCCTACTTTAGTAAATGCATCTTGATTTAAGATTTTGTTTATATTCGGACTGGAAACGAGACAAAAATACTAAGTAAGAAAGGCATTTTTTGCATTGCATTACTAAAGGTTTAGTTTTTATAGCCGTGTTTCAATGCCATATATCGGATGACATGATCACTCCCTTGAACCTTATGTGATGATAATCAAAGACGATAACGTGATAATAATCAAAAAGCAGCAAAAACAAACAAACATCTACCGTTGATAGCTATAAATGAGCAAAGCAGAGCTCTGTCTCTGTGTCTGGCCTCGACATTCAGTGTTGTTCGAATATAAAAATGTAATTGAAGTGCCAAGGTCAGAGGAAGTGAGGAATAAAGCCGTTTCCACGTTGGCCGTGTTCCAGCGGTGTTACCGTAGCGCTGCTGTGTGAAGATCCAGCGCTATTTACAGTGCGATCAGATGTGGCTCGCTGCCAGAACCTGTGCTTTCAGTGGAGGAATGGACTGGTAATCCTCTTAGACTTATGTTTGGGTAAATATTTGGACACGCAATTTTACAACCGTTAGTTTAACCCTCTGGTGCTGGCAGTTAAAAATCACTTCTTTTTTTATTTCATATTTTTAGGGGATTTTGTGCTACTAAATTATATTTATGGAATAGTTATGATCCATTTATTTCCTGTTACTCACTTTTTTGAGTATGGAGCTGAAAATGAAATTCCCAACTTAAACTGTGGTAGCCTAAATCTTAAATGCTTTGGATCACAGACTGGAGTTTGAGCTGTTTTTAAACTGTGAACACTTCTTGTGAAGAGACAAAAAAAGTATGAAAAAGTGAAGAAAAAAAAAGTTATAGTTTAAGTTTATTGTTATGAAAAAATGCGTGATATTAAAAAAAACATGTTTTATGTTTTTAAAATCGTAACGAGTTGTCTTCCAAATTTGAGGTTGATCTTAAAAAATGATATTCGTCTCCCATTCATTTCCAATGCGCTCATTTTTGATCGTGAACAGAACAAGTGTGACTGTTTTTTTCAGGACCATTTCACCTTTTCGAATCATGTCGATGATTTTTGTGTGTGTGTGTGTTCACATAGCAAGTGCCAAAACTTTTACCAATTAAAAATTATAATAACAAAAACAAATTGTTCAATCAAAAATGACCAAACAGCACCAGAGGGAAATATTAGACACAACACATGGAAAATTCTGCTAGATTTTTACATCCTGCTGTTTTTTACAGGTGGTGCTTAACTGCGCAAAACTTGCTGCTATAATGCTACTGATGTGGAAAAAGTGTTCTTGCTATGCGGTTGCTAGGGTGTGTTCTGAGTGTTTTTTATTGTGTTGCTATCTGGTTTATAGGGTGTTCTTTGTGGTTGCTATGCGGCTATTAGGGTGACAGTTCTGTGTGGTTGCCAGGGCATTGCTATGTGGTTGCCAGGGATTTGCAATGCAGTTGCTATGCTGTTCCGTCCGTGTGGTTGCCAGGGTTTTGCTCTACGGTTGCTAGTGTTTTGTGGGGTTGCCAGGAGATTGCTATGCAGTTTCTACGGTGTTCTGTGTGGTTCCCCGGGTTTTGCTATATGGTTGCAAGGGCATTGCTATGTGGTTGCGACTGTATTGTGTATGGTTGATAGGGCATTGCTATCTGGTTACTAGGATCCTCTGGGTGGTTGCGAGGTAGTTGCTATATGGTTGCTAGGGTGTTGCTATCCAGTTTATAGGGTGTTCTGTGTGGTTGCCAGGGTTGTCCTATATGGTTGCAAGGGCATTGCTATGTGGTTGCTAGGGTCTTCTGGGTGGTTATGTGGTTACAAGGGTATTGTGTATGGTTGCTAGGGCATTGCTATCTCGTTACTTGGGTCTTCTGGGTGGTTGAGAGGTAGTTGCTATATGGTTGCTAGGGTGTTGCTATCCAGTTTCTAGGGTTGTGCTATATGGTTGCAAGGGCATTGCTTTGTGGTTGCTAGGGTCTTCTGGGTGGTTATGTGGTTACAAGGGTATTGTGTATGGTTGCTAGGGCATTGCTATCTGGTTACTAGGATCTTCTGGGTGGTTGCGAGGTAGTTGCTATATGGTTGCTAGGGTGTTGCTATCCAGTTTATAGGGTGTTCTGTGTGGTTGCCAGGGTTGTGCTATATGGTTGCAAGGGCATTGCTATGTGGTTGCTAGGGTCTTCTGGGTGGTTATGTAGTTACAAGGGTATTGTGTATGGTTGATAGGGCATTGCTATCTGGTTACCAGGGTCTTCTGGGTGGTTACGAGGTAGTTGCTATATGGTTGCTAGGGTGTTGCTATCCAGTTTCTAGGGTTGTGCTATATGGTTGCAAGGGCATTGCTTTGTGGTTGCTAGGGTCTTCTGGGTGGTTATGTGGCTACAAGGGTATTGTGTATGGTTGCTAGGGCATTGCTATCTGGTTACTAGGATCTTCTGGGTGGTTGCGAGGTAGTTGCTTTATGGTTGCTAGGGGGTTGCTATCCAGTTTCTAGGGTGTTCTGTGTAGTTACCAGGGTGTTGCTATACAGTTGCTAGGGCATTCCTATTTGATTGCTTGCGTCTTCTGGGTGGTTGTTAGGTGGTTGCGAGGGTGTTGCTATACAGTTGCTAGGGCATTGATATGTGGTTGCTAGGGTCTTCTGGGTGGTTGTCAGGTTGGTTGCTAGGAATTTTCTTCCTGTCTGGCATGTGAGGCACATTTTACACTGCAGAACGACACAAACGCTCAACTTTAACACTTACTGACACTATGAGCGCCAGTACTAGTGATGATTGACTTAACAAACTATTATTCATGCGTTTTAGAACGTTTTTCTGTGTTTTTTAATGTCGACTAAGGGGTTAGTCTGATCATTTCTGTTTAGGTGTGTCTTTACCTGGTTGTTGATCAGTTATAGTTGGTTACTGGAATTCAGGGAATCAGTTTTTTGATAGCATATCTACGGCAACGAGGGTTTGTAGCATAAGCAGTGATAGAGCTTGATAAACAGGGCAGCGCTGTTGTTTTTATGATTGTTCCAGGGAGGTTATGTGTCGTCGCCCCCTTCATTATTTAATCCAAACACACGAACAGCATGAGTGTCTGTCCTCTGACACACACACACACACACACACGTGAACTCCACACACTCAACACACAGCTTTAGACTGTGTTCTTCTGTACATGTGCTTCATCAGGAACCCTGACCCAGGTCAGATCAGCTTCCCGTCTCATCATGTCTATCACTACAGCTTGTTCTGCCTAATACAGATTTTATTTGTTGCGTTATTCACCTTTTAAAAGTGGTAAAGCACTTTTTATTCATAAACAAATTTCATAATATCATATGATGTCATATTTTGTATTATATGTCATCCGAAGAACTTTAAGCTTCTAGTATTAAATCAGTGCATGAGCATAACATTTGAACTTCTCATCACTGTTTAAGAGTCGCAACATATCAATCTAATGCACTGCAAAAACAAAAAAAGATTTTCTTTCTTTATATTATTTTTGTCTTGTTTTCCAGTACAAATATGTAAATATTCTTAAATTAAGATACATTTATTCAAAGGAAAAAAAAGTGTGTGTGTGTGAGAGAGAGTGCGTGTGTGTGAGAGAGAGTGCGTGTGTGTGAGAGAGAGTGCGTGTGTGTGAGTGAGTGAGTGTGTGTGTGTGCGTGCGTGTGAGTGAGTGAGTGAGTGTGTGTGTGTGCGTGTGTGTGTGTGAGTGTGAGTGAGTGTGTGAGTGAGTGTGTGAGAGAGTGAGTGTGTGTATGTGTGTGTGTGTGTGTGTGTGTGAGAGTGAGTGTCTGTGTGTGTCTGTGTGTGTGTGTGTGTGAGAGTGAGTGAGTGAGTGAGTGTGTGTGTCTGTGTGTGTTTGTGTTTGTGTGTGTGTGTGAGAGTGAGTGAGTGAGTGAGTGTGTGTGTCTGTGTGTGAGAGTGAGTGAGTGAGTGTGTGTGTCTGAGAGTGAGTGAGTGTCTGTGTGTGTCTGTGTCTGTGTGAGAGTGAGTGTGTGTGTGTGTGTGTGTGTGTGTGTGTGTGCGTGCGTGTGTTTGTGTGTGTGTGAGAGAGTGTGTGTGTGTTCGCACCTGTCTGTCCTGTTCTCTCATGATGGGCGATTCCTCCGTGTCTCTGTAACGTTACTCTCATCATGTTACGAACACTTGCCGTCTAACGTGTGTCCACAAACAAAACCTGATGCAGAGAGAGATGTAGTTCTCCACACACAGCTGCTGTGAGTGTGTGTGTGTGACAGCTGTTCAAACTCCAGAAGACGAGACGTCTTCACCTTCGCATCGCTTCACAACAACTGCACACAATCATGCCGACGGAGAAAATGATTTTGTGAAGACGGTTATGTGTGTTATGTGCCTTTCTACTTCAAAACTTCTCCATATTTATAATTATTTGTGAAGTTTATTAGCAACTTCTGAGTGGAAATTGTTTCCACACCATTTTTTCCTCCGGCATAAAGTCTTAATCTAGCCAAGAACACCAAGAAGTCACAAAACATTTATTGCTGTTTTATGTGTAATATAGATTAAACATAAGTGAAGGGACTTGCAAAAAAAAAAGTTCTTCCTCAGTATTTGTGTCTTGTTTTCCAGTTCATAAGCATTCTTAAATCAAGATACATTTGCTGGAAGAGCAAGATATTAAGTTTTGTTTTCTGATCAAAATAAAGTGAGTTTGTGCTTAAAACATTAAGAACGAATATCTGCCAGTGGAGTCTGAAATATCCACTTAATTCATAGAGAAAATTAGGATTTTTTTCTGAGCCCATTGTCAGATATTTAAACCAGATATTGTTTTCCATTTGAATTAAGATACCCAGATTTTCTTGGCAGATAATTTGGCTTGTTTTAAGCATCAACTCACTTAATTTTAGATTTTTTTTACCCCAGAAAACAAGATATCATTTCTTATGTAATTTTGCTTCTCTAGTAAATGCTTCTTGTTTAAAGAAGTTTTAGATATTTGCACTGGAAACAAGAGAAAAATACTAAGTAAGAAAAGCATTTTTTTTGTTATTTTGCTTCTCATGTAAAAAAATAGCTAGTTAATTTCACAAATAATTACAAAGAATCGAAAAGTAACACTAAATTGAATGTGAAGTTTTGAAGTTTTTTTTTTTTTTTAGCTGCGAATATTTCGATATTTGTACTGGGAAAAAAAGGCACAAATAGTGAGAAAGAAGAAGATTTTTGCAGTGAAATGACTGAATATTGTCCTTCAAGGCACTGAAAGGGTCAATAAGCGGGTCAATTATCCACCTCAGCAAGAGTCGCAACATATTCCCTCTTCTTTTCTCTTTCTTTTCCACCTTCTGTGTGTTTTTCAGGTGCTGGATTGGTGTCACCATGTCCCGGAGCTGAATATCGTGTTGACGGACATCTCTAGAAACCCTCAATCATTTTTTACACATCACTTTAACAACTGAAGGCATGGCCTTTCACAGAAAGACCCGGCAGAGAATAGAAAGAAAGAGAAGGAGGTTTTCAAAAGAGAAACGGGATCCCTGCGCTTCACAAAAGAGGTATCATCATTCCTGGAGAAAGAGATGAGCTTCAGCGTCGCAGCCCGAGGACAAACGCGCAGACACACACCACAAGAAAGTGTGTATGGGCCGGATCGGGACACATGTCCCAGATGGGACGCCCCGCTTTGGTGTCTCATCAGATTACAGAATCGGCATTGTACTGTACGTGGGCGAGAAGATGAAAGATTGAGGAGAAACGCCGATCAGTTTAGAGGGTTTGAAGGTTCGAGGTGCTTCATGCTATTGACGGATGGTTTCGCTGTGAAGAGGAAGATAAAGCTGATCAAATAGCTCCTGCTCCTCACACACTTTTATACAGCGAGTGATCAGTTTGTGTGGCCGGTTTGATGTGGTGGAGATTGTTTTAGGCTATATAATATGTGCATATAAAGGCTCATCATGCAGGGATGCATTTGTTTCATGCTGCAAAAATTGTGAAATATTATTGGAATTTGTTCTTTATGTGAATATATAGTAAAGTGTAATTTATTCAGCATCATTACTCCAGTCTTCAGTGTCACATGATCCTTCAGAAATCACTCTAATATGATGATTTGATGCTCAAGAAACATTTATGATTATTATCAATGTTAAAACAGTTCAGGAAACTGTGATGCATTTTATTTTTCAGGATTCTTTGATGAATAGAAAGTTCAAAAGAACAGCATTTATTTGAAATAGAATCTTTTTTAACATTATAATATATTTACTGTCACTTTTAATCATTTTAACGCATCCTTGATGTATCAAAGTGCTATTTTCTTTCAAATATACACAACACAGACAGTTCAAAGCAACAAAACTAGGCCTACTTAAATGACTTTCTAATCATTTAAAGCCCAAAACTGTTTGTTTAATAGCAATTGATGTTATAATAATCACTGCATTGTGGCATAATGTTGATTGCAAAATATATTGATTTTGGTTCATCCTTTCATAATTCCAATAGAGCAAACTGGAGATGTTTAAATATCTGGTGAAACTTGTTTGAAGCATAGAATAAACTCTGATACAGTAATCTAGCAATAAAACATACAGCAATATAATATAAATCATACAGCAATAAAAGGTGTTTTGTTCGCATGAAACATTTCTATTCCACTGCAACATGACATCATGACTTTGCGTAAACATACACGCCACTTTCAATTCAAGTGGCGTGTTATCTATACGCATTTTGAGCTATCCGCGTGTATGTCCACGCCGAAATCTTTTGCGTGTATGTCTACGCCATTAAACGTCCGAGTGATTCCGCGTGTATGTGTACGCCGTTAAATGTCCGAGCGAAACGAAGCAAAATCTATATTCTACATCTGTGGAGCGATATTTCTTTTCCTAGGATGGTAGGAGAAGACTCATAAATGGTATTAACCCCAGTGACGGGTAGGTTTAGGGACGGGGTTGGGGTAGGTCATATATTTATATGTACATAATACAGTAATATAACGTAAAGTCAAAGGCGTTGATAAACACGCTGAAAAGCGATTATGCGTGTTGATAGCACGCCAAAAATGGAAATACGAATTGGCGTGTCATACATACGCCATTTCATGAGATCAGTCTGTCCACTGCATTGTGTTTGAGTGTAAACTCGCGCTAGACGGACGTGTTTGAGGCCAGCGCCGGTGTATTGCTCATGACACACTGTTTATAAACGTGCCACTCATGTTAAAAGAAGATCTACTAAAAAACAGTGAAAAAAATGCGTCTTTACACATTGAGGGCCTACGGAGCCCCCCTAGTCCCTCTTTGTCAAAAAAAAATATTTTAACTATCTCGTGGCCTCAAGATAAGTAACTCGTGGCCTCAAGATAGTAACTCGTCTTGAGGCCACGAGTTACTATCTTGAGGCCACGAGTTACTATCTTGAGGCCACGAGTTACTATCTTGAGGCCACGAGTTACTATCTTGAGGCCACGAGTTACTATCTTGAGGCCACGAGTTACTATCTTGAGGCCACGAGATACTATCTTGAGGCCACGAGATACTATCTTGAGGCCACGAGATACTATCTTGAGGCCACGAGTTACTATCTTGAGGCCACGAGTTACTATCTTGAGGCCACGAGATACTATCTTGAGGCCACGAGATACTATCTTGAGGCCACGAGTTACTATCTTGAGGCCACGAGTTACTATCTTGAGGCCACGAGTTACTATCTTGAGGCCACGAGTTACTATCTTGAGGCCACGAGTTACTATCTTGAGGCCACGAGTTACTATCTTGAGGCCACGAGTTACTATCTTGAGGCCACGAGTTACTATCTTGAGGCCACGAGTTACTATCTTGAGGCCACGAGTTACTATCTTGAGGCCACGAGATACTATCTTGAGGCCACGAGATACTATCTTGAGGCCACGAGATACTATCTTGAGGCCACGAGTTACTATCTTGAGGCCACGAGTTACTATCTTGAGGCCACGAGATACTATCTTGAGGCCACGAGATACTATCTTGAGGCCACGAGTTACTATCTTGAGGCCACGAGTTACTATCTTGAGGCCACGAGTTACTATCTTGAGGCCACGAGTTACTATCTTGAGGCCACGAGTTACTATCTTGAGGCCACGAGTTACTATCTTGAGGCCACGAGTTACTATCTTGAGGCCACGAGTTACTATCTTGAGGCCACGAGTTACTATCTTGAGGCCACGAGATACTATCTTGAGGCCACGAGATACTATCTTGAGGCCACGAGATACTATCTTGAGGCCACGAGATACTATCTTGAGGCCACGAGTTACTATCTTGAGGCCACGAGTTACTATCTTGAGGCCACGAGATACTATCTTGAGGCCACGAGATACTATCTTGAGGCCACGAGTTACTATCTTGAGGCCACGAGTTACTATCTTGAGGCCACGAGTTACTATCTTGAGGCCACGAGTTACTATCTTGAGGCCACGAGATACTAACTTGAGGCCACGAGTTACTATCTTGAGGCCACGAGTTACTATCTTGAGGCCACGAGTTACTATCTTGAGGCCACGAGTTACTATCTTGAGGCCACGAGTTACTATCTTGAGGCCACGAGTTACTATCACGAGGCCACGAGATAGTTATAAAAAATTTTTTTGACAAAGTGGGACTAGGGGGGCTCCGTAAGGGCCAAATGCATACATGCAAAACATAAAATGCATTAAATTATTATCCAGTGTTGCATTTTTTAATAAACTACAAATGTTACTGAGAGAGACCTTGTTCTACGTATAAATGCTGTTGCACCACATGTGTGTGTGTGTGTGTGCAGATGCTCCAGGAATATTTATTTATACATTTTATGATGAGAGAAACACATCTTTAATAAGGTTCTGCGGCCAATGAGTAATATTTCAGTGATGGTCTTCTGTAATGTTTAACGAGGGAGTAAACAAGACCCGAGCATCTCAGTGCCAGAGCAGGCAAACTGTGTTAATCTGAGGCACACACACACACACAGACACATACTCTCTCTCCCTCTCACACACACACACTCTCTCTCTCTGTCTCACACACACTCACACACACACTCTCTCTCTCTCTCTCACAAACACACACACTTACGTGCACACACTCTCTCTCTCTCTCTCTCTCTCTCTCTCTCTCTCACACACTCACACACACTCTCTCTCTCTCTTTCTCACACACACACTCACACTCACTCACGTGCGCACTCTCTCTCTCTCTCTCTCTCTCACACACACACATACTCCCCCCCCCCCCCCCCTCCCCCCTCTTTAATAAGGTTCTTGTCTTGTTCTCGTTTACAATTTTATATTGCACAGGGCGTGCAGTCATAAATAAGGAGACGTACAGCGAGTACCGAACAAACTTGGAACCTTTATTCGTTTATGTGCATCAATCCTTTCCATGTGCTCCCATACCCAAAATCACCAGCAACCTTTTCTGGCGCCGTAAATCAGTGTCGCAAATATTCAGTGCTTACCAGAATATTACATCCCCTTTGTTTTGAAAGAATAAAAAAACAAAAAACAAACAAGCAAAAAAAAAACATCGTCAACTTACTCAAGTCACAGAAACATTACTCTAGCCTAGCCTAAACACAGAGGTTGCTGCATTTCACAAAACATCTAGACACCTCTGACACTTAACGTATCACACAATAGTACTTAGGAACAAACCGTCCATTATTCTCTGACAGCCCATACCAGATCTTAGATTCCAGATCTTAGATTCTGGATCCTTAGATCCAGAATTCCTGGAATTCCATCTGGAATTCTGGAATCAGAATTCCAGATTCCATATTACCCTGTAGCCCAAGACTGGTTGCCCACTGAAGCTAAGCAGGGCTGAGTCTGGTTAGCACCTGGATGGGAGACCTCCTGAGAAAACCAGGTTGCTGCTGGAAGAGGTGTTAGTGAGGCCAGCAGGGGGCGCTCACCCTGTGGTCTGTGGGTCCTAACGCCCCAGTATAGTGATGGGTACACTATACTGTCAAAGAGCACCGTCCTTCGGATGAGACGTTAAACCCAGGTCCTGACTCTCTGTGGTCATTCAAAATCCCAGGATGTCTTTCGAAAGAGTAGGGGTGTAACCCCGGTGTCCTGGACAAATTTGCCCCTTGGCCTCTGTCCATCATGGCCTACAGATCATCCCCATATATATACACTGATTGGCTTCATCACTCTGTCTCCTTTCCACCAGTAAGCTGGTGTGTGGTGGGCGTTCTGGCGCAATATGGCTGCCGTCGCATCATCCAGGTGGATGCTGCACATTGGTGGTGGTTGAGGAGATTCCCCCTTCTATGTAAAGCACTTTGAGTGCAGAGAAAAGCGCTATATAAATATAATGAATTATTATTATTTATTATTATTATTCCATCCAGCGATCCGCCTACACCCCAGACGAATTATCCATCACAAATCAAGGATTGATCTCGGTCGCACTGCTCGACCTGATCTGGTATAGTATTGTATGGGCTGGATCTCTCTGTCATTCGAACGTTGTGCTGGTACTTCCGTGTGTTCCTGAAGCG